TTTTAAGCTATTAAAAAGAAAATAATTGTACAAACCTTTCTTTATTTGTTGTTTTTTATATCTAGAATGGATTTCACATAAAAGAGACATGTTGCTTGCGATACATTTCGATTAAACAATCAGATCAATATCGAGAAAATATTTTCATATCCGGTAGTGAAGACTGCACTCTTCGTATCAGCAGTATTTTTGAATACGATTTTCAATGGAACGTTTTCAAAAATTTAGGAACTTTTAATGGCCATCTTTCGGGTATTAGATGCCTAAGTGTTGTTGAATTAAATATGTTACATGAATCCAAGTTTCAATATCTAGTTTTTTCTGGTGGAGGAAGAGCACAATTGAAGATTTGGAAGCTAAACTTCAACTTCCAAAGTGTTGAGCCAAAAAATCCACATTCAATAAAAAAATTAAATATGTCATGTTTCGATGTGAATTCTCATATGCTCTATAAACAAAATCAGTATTGTAAAAAACCATGGCAGGAAACTAAGCAATCCTGTATTGAAGAACCAGAAACACGTTACATGGATATTTACGCCTATTATCCTAAATTAAATTATGTATTAGTCTTTATAGCTTGTGCAGACGGATATCTAAGGTAATTTAATTATTTATTTCATCAAAAATGATATATCGTTTTACGAGAGTTATAAAATAATATTCCTTTTTTCCATTACAGACTACTTGTATACGATATTGTAACTAACAATACATATTTGAAAGTATCTACTAAATACATAGATCGTTGCATTTTGAAGATACACATATTATTATACAAATCCAAAGTAATTGTATTAACAATGAGTACAGACGGAAAGTTACGTTTTTTCGATTTTACCGACATGGTCTCGAAAATACACGAGGATGCAAATTCTAGGAACCAGAATATTTTGAATTTCGACGATATCCCTTTTGCAGAATTTAGCTTGCATCAGTCAGGCATTAATTGTTTTGATTTAAAGGATATGAATGAGAATAAATATCTTTTGGTTACCGGTGGTGATGACAATCTTCTCAATGTCGCCTATTTTCAAATTTATCTATCAGAAAATAAACTATCAGCTGAAATATTATCCAAATGGAATACAGCATCCGCACATTCCACACAAATCGTTGGTAAGTTAAGGCATATATGACATCTTTTAAGCTACAGTTATATGTATTGCATATTCCACACATGCTTTAAGAAATTTATAAAAATGTATAATACCAACAGGTGTGAAATTGAAAGGCAATACAATATGTAGCGTGGGAATAGATCAGCAAGTTATTACTTATAATTATTCATGTTCCAATGAAGTCATACATGTAGATATCTTAAATCAAGTATTTACATCTGTTACGGATGTGCAAGGCATGGAATTATATAGTTATCTCAAGTAAGTTTAAAGATATATATTTGGTGTTATAATTGTCTTCTTTATTTCACTATTCTTATAAATATTAATTTTTTAACAGCCATGATAAAAGCTGGAACGATTTTATTTGTATATATGGACGAGGATTTGAAATAATGTCCATTTAAAATTTTACACAAAGCACCATTTGTGTAAAAAATATTTTCTATCGAAGTGTCTTGTATATATGATATTATATATATTATGTATATATATTTATATTTATCTATAATATTTGTAATATTCAATATTATGTAAATATAAACTAAATCATTACACATTTAAATATGTGCAAGAACAATTAATTATTTCCCATATCTTCTTTATCTAACTAGAGAAAATATTTTTATTATTTTAAACACAAAGTAAGTTATACAAAGTTGAAATAAAATACGGGACTTGTGAAATAATGAATTCTAATTGTATAAATATATAACATAGAAATTTTGTATTTTTTTGAAAATAAATAGAATTATTTACTTTTGTTTATGATATTTGAAATTTCTAAATTCTAAGATATCAGAAAAATTACAGTTTTGAATATATTTAAAACAATTCGAACAAACCTCTTCTTTTTCGATTTACTCGCCACTAGTCGTCACTGCCATCAGATGTCAGTTTAATCGTAAAAAAAAATGACAGTACCGTGTGTAGTATTTTGATAGGATCGCGCAATATTTCTTGATAATAATTCATAATATTTATAAAAATTACATGACATATTTAATTATATAAAGATGTCAAGTATTACGATATCAGCCATAAGACCACGGACCAGTATCCTCGATAAATCCTTGAGTAAAGGTAAAGGAGAGGTTAGCTTGAGTTGTTTTGCCCTCTTATTCTCCGAATTAGTGCAATATTGTCAAAACAGAGTCTATACCGTTCCAGAGCTGCAGAATAAGTAAGTAGATCAAATTATTCTTTATCATTCATTATCTCGCACTCACTTAAATGTATATTGTCTTATGTTGTGACTAGATTGGCAGAGATTGGAGCAGAAGTTGGACACAGGATAACAGATCTACTTGTGGTACGAGAAAAGGGTGGCAAACGTGAGATAAAGCTCCTTAATGTACTGCTGTTTATCAAAAGTACAGTGTGGAAGTCCTTGTTTGGTCGAGAGGCCGATAAACTGGAACATGCAAACGACGATGAACGTACTTATTACATCATCGAAAAGGAATCCTTGGTAAACAAATTTGTGTCGGTACCTAAAGATAAAGGGAGCTTGAACTGTGCATCCTTTGTCGCTGGTATTGTGGAGGCTGTACTTTGCGATTGCGGCTTTGTAAGTAGTTTGTTATTTATTCTTTTTGAGATAGTTTATCGATCAATTTTTAAGCTTGCACATTTATATTTTTATGGGACAAAATTTATAAATGTTTTAAATATTATTGCAGCCTGCTAAGGTAACGGCACACTGGCATAAAGGAACTACATATATGGTTAAATTCGATGACGCTGTTGTTGCGCGTGACAAGCAATTGGAAGATCGTTAATAAAGGGAATAAACACATACGTTACATTACTCTTTCTATAATGATAAAATATATAATATCTATATACAAGTTTATCAATTGTTGTGATAAATCTGTAGTCTTTAATTATTGTGTTAAATTTATATTTTATGTGTGTACCTTTTATATTTGAGACTAGTATCACTTCATCGAATTTTCATTTCATAACTATACGTTTATAAAATCTTTAATGTTTTTCTTATTTCTTTTAATAACATACATTGGATTTAACATTAATATATATACATATATATGTATATATTTCCTATAAGTTTATTTTATATCATCTAGTGTTAAGTTAGATACATCAACTGCATGTACTTTAATAAAATAATCATCTAACAGAATCTATGTGATCTGCTTGCATAATCAATTTGTCCAGTACGATACAAGTGTTCTTTTTTATCCTATAAAAAATACACATTACATATTAATATTTTTACATTGGTTCTTGAATTTTATGTTTTTTAAACACATTTGGCTTACCCTTCTTCTTTTTAATGTTATTGCAGTCATGAAAATAAGAGATCCAATCAATCCAACTTGCGACACGTATCGTACCAATGTAGGTACAAAGTGCGACTGTATCGATGTTTTCGAGGCAGCAAATTTATATATTCCTGTATCAAACTGTATTCAAAGAATGAGTAATCATGTGATAATTTATTAAAATTAATTTACATAGACATAATTATACTCTAAAATCGATTATTTATTATTTCAAAATCAACAAAGTATTAAACATGAAGGTACAACAGATAGTTTGTCATGTTTCATTAATCTGTTACATAATTTCTGTGTAGACAATTTTAAATATAAAGTGTACACAATTGAATAAAGCAAAAGTTATATACATACATATATAAATATTTATGCATTTATGATCCTATTCGATTTTTTAATTCTTATTAACGTTATATTTTTAATAATAAACTACTTCATATTCTTGAAAAATATTGAGCATACTTGAATCCGAGAAATACAAAAATCGGAATAACAAATTGTAAATGCGAGTGAACAAAATACCGTCGTACATAAATAATAACAATGAATGCAATTTCATAAATCAAACGTAAATAGGCGTAAATATTATCTACGGAGTCAAGCATCGCTAATATTTGTGGACTTATAGGTTAAGTTAAATGTCCGTGTATGTACGTACGAGAAGACTTTTGGTCGGGTGTCCTGAATCTCTTAGATACAATTCGCGTAACTGCTTCCGTTTCGCAGCTCTCCACAACGCGATTTCGCGTTGCTCCGGCGTGACATCGTATATCTTTTTCGACGACATGACTCTGAATTTCGTAACCTTTTACCTTATTTCTGTCCCTTCACCCTTCACTGCGCTTCTCTACTTTACCCCGCGAGCAGGTACGTTACTTTTATCGATCGTAATCAATATAGTAATCGCAAATATCTGGGAAGCGCTTAAAGTGCGTGAGCGTCCAAATAGACCGCAGCCGATAACTTATCACCAATAATTTATATATGATATACGAAGTAGTTTTGTTCCTTAAGTTCAGAGGCGCTGGTGTCTAATTTTCAACATGGCGACGCCCATGCAATGAATATAAGTTAGATTTGATCAGTGTTCTTATATTTTTGTCTCAGTGGTTGCGGTCAGCAGAGAAAGCAGCTTTGCAACTGTTGTGAAATTTTTCAATACGATTGGTTTATACATTTAGATCCATAAGGAACTAAAAAAAGCCAGAACCATGTTGAAGAATTTTGCAAGAATGTTGCAAAGCTGCTTGCTCCGCTGAGCGCACCCACAATGATATCTAATTAAAATAAATGAATTATGTATCATTATTATAATTTCCTTTATACTTTAATCGTATTCAGATACGCACTTTTACCAGTAACACTAATCTATAGTGTACACAACTTGAACTGTAATTTCCAACGGCTGTTTTTTTGAAAAGAGTCGACACAATAAATGTTCTACGTTATTCATTAAATGTTAATAAAGGATAAAACGATGTTCGTCAGCTGTTCCAAAAAAAAAAAAAAACAGCTTATATCGGATTATCAGAACACGTCATTTTCCAAAAATGTCCAATGACGGTGTCATGTATGGTCGGTTGCATCATTCGGTTTATCACTGAAGAGAAACTAAACATGGTATAGACCTCGTGACAAGCTTAATCACGCGTGTTATCATTTCCGCTTTTGAAAGAGAGCTGCGTCGCAGAATCCCCTCACGAGGATGATATTAAATCTGGGTCTCGATATCGTAGACACATGACCGACAAGACTGAAGTTAGACTCGCAGTCGCGACGTCACAATCGTCTTATCTCACTCTGTACAAGCTGTAGAAAACGATACGGAAGATCATCGCGCTGGAATTCAACGGACGAACTTGATAAACAACGAATGCGATGCGTAGCTAGTATATATACATATATTATGTATGTGCATACAAACATCGAACGTCGCCAGCGACACCAATGGACTCCATTGTCGTTGAATCACGTGGCCTATGCTGGTGGAAGTGGTGGATGGTGGAAAGTAATAACAGGGAGAGGGAGGAATACAAAAGAACGACGCTCCTACTGCTAGTCGGAAACGATTGTGATTGTCACAGATTGTCCGTGGTAGACTCAGATAGCGAGAAAAAGTTTTGCCAGGAATAAAGAGAGCTCGTAAGTGTAAACTCGTGTAAGTATTAGTTCCTTGTACAAAACGCTCGATCAAACAAGAAACGCAGTCCGTTTGCTTCCAGCAGAAGAGTTCAATTTGCGTAACAGAAACGAATAGCTTCAATTTTCTTTGTTTTTTTTTCTACCATCTCATTATTTATACAGAACGCGATAATGCTCGTTTAGATTTTCGTAAAAATTGAATTGTGTGTATTTAACCTAAAGGATATACATCATGTTATATTACTAATATCGAAGCATCGTTTAGGGCGTTTAAAATTAGGGCTCGTAAAATTTACTCTATCTTTTTTAATTCTTTAAATTAACCCTTACCGTACTGATATAGGTAACTAGTGACCGAGCGATTCCTGTTCGTGCAAGTTTCTTTGAGTCTTTCGGTTATTATAAATTATACTACATTTTATTATTTTTCAAAATAAAGAGTCAATATTTATTCTAGAAAGTTGAAAGTATGTTAGTGAATTTTTAGAGATTTTTTAAATTATTTTGAAGAGGCGAAAAAACGAAGAGATTTGAAGTGACCCTTGATGGTATGGATGAGGCATCAAATTGTAGATGGTACGGTAAGGGTTAAACATAAAAAGTAAAATTAAATTGAAATTAATTTACATTGGTAGAAATGGACATAAAGGAAATATCAATTCCAAGATGAATATTAATCTTGAAAGTGGAACTAACAAACAACTCCATTAATTTAAAGTTAATGTAAATTAGGTGGTGGTTTTGAAATCATTGTGTTCAATGTGTTTTTCCTGACATTGTCTTTATGTATTAAGTAAAGCTTGAAGTAGAGAATTCCAATCACGGAAGTTAGGATGATCAACTTTTTCGTACATTCGTATTGTTTACGTAAACAAACAAATGTGAAATTGGTATCATGCAAAGATCGATATCAGTTACCTATCAGATAACTATATATTTATTCTTTTGTCTGTTTAATTATTTTAGAAAATAATTGAGAGTTTAATATTTTAACATTACACTTCACATACATGAGGCAAATGCTTGGAACATAAAATTATATCATGCTTTGAGTATATCAAAGTCTTATGTGTTATAGAACATTTATGATTACATAGAAAAAAAATCTTTGTTGAATATTGTATATATTACTGTAATTTGTTTAAATGGATACATTTTGTAATTAAAATTATTAATTAAATCAAGACGATTAAGACAACATCGCGATGGAGGCATATATAATTATAAACTCTTTTTATACATGTATTTACCACGTGATTCAATAAATCTGTTTATCATGTCGAGTGGTAGCAAATGCGTCTAGTGCGCAATTAAGAGATATGAAAACTTTTTCGTTTTTTTTATGTTTAAAAGAGAAATTCATAATCATATATTTCGTCATTTCAAGGAAAGGGAGATAACATCCGATATATTTGTGACGTCAGTGTCATCAATAGATGCTTTCCATTTGATGACACAAATCGGCACGAGCGTCATTCTATCCTTGTTGACATTCAGAGAGTGACAAAGATAGAACGACACTTGTGTCGACTTGTGTCATCAAATGAAAAGCACCCAATTTTATGTATAACTTTGTTTTTAGAGTACCATTGGATAGATTGATACTGCAGTAAATTATGAATACATGTCGAAATCTTCATATCATATTTTGTCTAGACAAGCTAGACAAAAGGATGTGATAAGAAATCAATAGATTAAAGTTTGAAGGCTTAGTTTTAAAATTCATGATCGACTTAACCAAAGTTCAACTTATTCCTTATCTCTTTCTAATTCTAGAATTGGAAAGAGATAAGAAACAAGTTGTATATTGTGAAACTGGGCCTTTAAACTTTAATCTATCGATTTCCTATCACGATTTCTTTTCAAGCTTAGTAATAATTTGATAATCTTTTTTACGTCTCGGCTAAAGCATTCTGAATACATCAAACCAAATTTGAAATTGACACGAAAGGAAAAACTTTGATAAAGAACTCTGACCATGAGACACTTTCAAGTACAAGTGTGTGCAGACACATGTATGTGATTGATTTGTAAACGACACGAGCCGCTCATTGTTCGACGCGCTGTAACAAGGTCAAGATTTTGAGATCCGTTATATGTATTATCTCCACGTGACCGTACGTCTCTCGCGTGTTCCATTGAAACAGAATCATATTACCTACACTGGACCCAAGTTGGCACAGAGCAATTATCGCTGTGTCATCGCAGCAATTTTACCACAGGTTTGTGTTTTCCATTGCGAGAAATGTGAGTCATTGTTAAAATCACACTAGCATGAACGGCAGGATAATCGAACGAACGATTATTCCGGAGGATGCAACACACGCGCATATCCAGAAGAGAAAAATATAATAAAATAAATTGTCATAAAACTGCAAATGGCGTAGCAGAGATTTTCATTTGATTGACTTCGAGGTATTTTTATTGCACACAATTACATAATATGCATATACACGCATGGATACGCGTATTGCTTCTGACAGTGCGTGCAGAATGCGTCATTTTTTTCTAAGAATCAGAAAAACAAAATGATTCTTTTCGAATATAAAAGTTCTTGATAATTGTGGTGCAAAAAAAAGGACAAACGGTTGATGCAATGTCTCTTATGGAATTTTTGTGCAATTTTCGAAATTTTGATCATGTATATTTGCAGCGGCAGGACAAAGCTTTGTTATGCTATTAATGTTGTTTTCTTTCTCTTACGTAAATTTTGAACTCTGCTCTTTCAAGCTAAGACTCGTTGCTAGTTTATTAGGTTATATTTTTATTTGATATTGCACTATAAAATAAAATTCATGAATTTTCTCAATAAGATTGAATTTTTTAATCTACAATATAAAATTAACTTTTTTGTTTCATATATAAGGGTTATATTTATTCTATATTATATTATTGGAATAATTCTTTTTTGTAGGTGACTTGAGGAAGAAACATGAAGAGTGTGGTAGTCCTGTTGTTACTGGCAGTTTTTGCCACGGGACAAGCTATTTCTTTTAACAAGATTTTGGATGCAGAATGGTTCATTTTTAAGGTATAAAAGTTGTACTTATAGTAGAGTTTAAGATTATTGCAGCTTGCATCATAGTGTTTACTCTGAAGAGTTAAATAAGATGAAAATCGAACCTTCCATATCCAGTTACTATTCTTTATAAGTAGTGACATGAATACTTTGTTTATTAGTTATAGATTTCTTTTTAATGTTGTGGATCAGTTTCTTTTGTAGAATATATTTTATAGCAAATACGATATGATTAAATATTTGTTAAGAAAAGAAAGAAATCACTGTGCAAGAAATTCTCGAATCTAATTATTAAATAAAATTGATGATTAAAATAGTTGAAAAATTAAACAAAATATTGATTATAATGGTTATTACTTTAAGACACATCATAAAAAAGTCTACCAATCTTCGGTTGAAGAGGGATATAGAATGAAAATCTTCTTGGATAACAAGCGCAAAATTGTTGAACACAATCAGAAATATGAACTGAATGAAGTTCCCTACAAATTAGGAATGAATAAATACGGCGATATGGTAAATTTCTGAAAAGCAAATTATCTGTATCACAAAGCGAGCAATTTTTCGTGAAACGCTTATTTTTCTTACAGTTGCATCATGAATTTATCAATACTTTGAATGGTTTCAATAAGTCAGCAAAGGGTCAAAAGCAATTTATGGGAGCAACATTTATCTCGCCAGCTAATGTCGAATTGCCAAAAGAAGTCGATTGGAGGAAACATGGTGCTGTTACAGAAGTTAAAGATCAAGGACATTGTGGCTCTTGCTGGGCATTCTCTACTGTAAGCCTATTTTTTAATACCTTTAATAAATAGGATTGGGCATTATTCATCGTCTTTTTTTTCTTGCAGACTGGCTCTTTGGAAGGACAGCATTTCAGACAGGCTGGCATTTTAGTATCACTTAGTGAGCAAAATTTGGTTGATTGTTCTGGCAAGTATGGCAACCAAGGATGCGATGGTGGTTTGATGGATAATGCCTTTAGATATGTCAAAGATAACAAAGGCCTTGATACCGAAAAGAGTTACCCATATGAAGCGGAGAATGACAAGTGCAGGTTTGTATTAATTATTTTGCATGATTGAAAAACATACACAGAATTTAATGATTTATTAAACTCTTGAAATTGCAGATACAATCCGAGAGATAGCGGCGCTACTGATGTCGGTTTCGTAGATATTCCAAGAGGAAATGAGCACAAGTTAAAGGCTGCAGTCGCTACTATAGGTCCGGTCTCGGTTGCTATTGATGCCTCTCATCAATCTTTCCAGCTTTATAGTGAAGGTATGTAATTTTATATATATTTATTTAATATAGTTAATATAAGCTAATTTTTAAAAAATTTAATGAGTTTATAACTTGTATATATGACTTTTAATCTTATAAATCAAAAATTTAATCCATAATGATTAGTTAAAGACTTATTTTTGTGTAATAAAATTTGAACTTGTGTTCTCATTTTTTTTCTTTTTTACTTAAATCTTTTCACATTTTTTAGGAGTGTATTTTGATCCTGAGTGCAATTCAGAAAATTTAGATCATGGTGTGTTGGTCGTTGGCTATGGTACAGACTCAAAAACCGGTCATGATTATTGGCTGGTAAAGAATAGTTGGGGCGAAACATGGGGTGAAAATGGTTACATCAAAATGGCCAGAAACAAGGACAATCATTGTGGTATAGCAAGCAGTGCCAGCTATCCTCTCGTTTAACTGCCGTTGATAACTAACTTTTTAGTTTCGACCTAATTCAGACATGACAGCTGTGAGAGGCCTAATAAAGTTTTACGAATTTTAGAATAAATTTTTATATCGTTTCTGATGTATATATATGATTTCCTTAAAATCATATTTTAATATAATTGATAAAATTGACGTTCTCCTATTGCCAGTTTTCCTGTTTTACCACACTATGGCAGGAATCAGGAGACGCGGTAGTGTCTCGGCGCTAAGCCAAGCGCAACGACACTGCCACGATTGTAATTACAAATTTTGCAGTTTTCCTAACTTTCTTAGGTTTCTATAGAAATTAGTTCTTTCGAATAAAGAGCAAAGAATAAAGACATTCGCGAAAATTGCAAGCATCGAAAATGGTACTTTGTTGTTTATCGTTTTAATATGTCTATTACATTTAGTGACAATTATGGATATGTTGTCTTAGGATATGTTACATTTTAATTTTTTATTTTTTGTTCACACATTTAGAATGATACTATTGCCCGAGATATTTTATGTCTTAAAATATCTTAATATCTTAAAATAAGAATATATTAATGATATATTTCATGTAAATTTAATTTTTTACACTAAATCTATAAAACTAATAAATGATGAAGGTCTAATTAAGTATTTTAGTAAATCATTACACATATCTCGGGTAATAATCCAGAGTCAAGCTATTTACTATGCAAATTGATCTCTATTTTTTAGGAAATAAAAGAAAATAAAAAATTGTTTAATGATCCTATTCTTATTTATCTCGATCTTGTTAATAATAAGTTGGATATGCGATACTCGACAGTGATACATCATGCATTCCTAGACAGTTGCAATATGTTTTTTCAATGTTGCTTCATTTTGTTCCCGGAAACCGAGACGACGATTGATCGTCAACTAACTTGTACTCATTCTAAAATAATTATAGAAACAAAAATCTAATTTTAATTTCGGGACTGGTGCAGAGTAAAAACTGCTTTCATTGCGATTTTCAATATCAAATGTTGGGCGCTACTCAACATTTTTTTTTATATTGCTGTTTTTCATATATCACAGCGGCTACTGTGGCTGTATGTCATCTTTTAATCTTTAATTCTATAACAATTGAGCTTGTGTATATATGTTTAAACTGCTCAATGTAATTCAGGTATTCATTATCTATATCTTTACGGTCAACGCGATGCTAGAAATGCTTTAAAGCGTTTCTTGATTGGTCAATTTATAAAATTCTTCCGATTGATCAAGCAACCGCCTCAAAGTATTTGCACATTGAGCGTGTTCAAATCAAATTGACAAAGCGGCTAGCCTGCTCGCTGAGCAGATAAATATGATTGGTTGTTTCTTATAGATTCAACCTCAACCTCACTGTTATTGGATGTTCTAAAATTTACTGCTTGTACTGAAAATCTATAGTGCACGCGACGTAAACTGTAGCATTTTCAGCGCTGGCCACGCCGGCAGTAAATTTAGAACACAGCTGACAGCCATAGTCGATTAGTTTATCATCATTTACCTACTGATTAACTGTCAGAATTTAACAGGATTCCTTTGATGCGACATGAATGTTGTGCTTGTAACTGGTGGTACCGGACTCGTTGGTAGAGCAATTCAAAATGTTATCGAGAATGACAAAAGAAAAAACGAAAAGTGGATATTTGTTGGATCCAAAGATGCCGATTTGGGGTAGGTTAGATTAAGTGACAGGTTAAATCAACCAAACGATTAACGGGATTGCAAAACGCTACGTATATGACGTTTATTTTAACCAAATGACTTTTGCAGTGATAAAGAGAGTACACGGAAGTTATTCGAGCATCATAAACCGACGCATGTCATTCACTTAGCTGCTATGGTTGGTGGTCTCTTCCACAATATGTCACATAATTTAGACTTTCTGGTAAATATCACGAAGGACATAATATCTTTCATTATTTGCGTATCAATTTATTGTATTGTAGCTTTAATCGTGATTTCAATATCTTTTATTGCAGCGGAATAATATACACATGAATGATAATGTTCTGCATACTGCTCACGAGAACAATGTCGTGAAGGTTGTCTCGTGCCTTTCCACCTGTATATTTCCTGATAAAATATCTTATCCAATAGATGAAACTATGGTAGTAACGTATATTAGATATGACTATAATTAATGTGTATGTAGGTCAGTACATGTATTATATGTATTTCAGGTTCACAATGGACCACCACATTCCTCGAATTATGGTTATAGTCATGCCAAGCGACTCATAGATATTGCTAACAGAGGTTACTATGATCAGCACGGCAGGCTGTATACCAGTGTGATTCCTTGCAACGTATTTGGTCCACACGACAATTTTCATCCTAATGATAGTCATGTAATACCTGGTTTAATGCGAAGACTTTATGACTTGTGCAAAGATGGTATGAAAAAGGCACCAATCAATATCTTGATTGTAAAAATAAGTTTTATGTATAACCATCATTTGAATTTCTTATCAAATTAGCATTTTAATTCTATTAGAAAATACAAAAGATAAAGTGTTTACTGTATTGGGCTCTGGTAAACCTTTAAGGCAATTCATCTACAGCATAGACTTAGCAAAATTAATAATTTGGGTACTGCGGGAATATGATTCTGTGGAACCAATTATACTATCAGGTAATTATTCATTTAGGTATAGTATTATTTCCCCAATTTTTTTCTAACTTTCTAGTAAACATTATTTATCAATAACTTTAGCTGCTACTACTTTTACTATACTATCAACCAAAGACATAGAGAATGGACTGCGTGATCCATGTGTCAAAATGGTCGATAGGGATGAGAGAGAGGGACCGTGACAGATGGCCATTTCTATCTCTTTCCATTCAATGATGTAATGGGAGAGAGAATGAGAGGGAGATTGACTCTCACGGTCCCTCTCTCTCATTATTGTCGACCACATTTGATACATTACTTAGATACGGATCGCACAGTCCATTCTCTATGTCTTTGCTATCAACAACATGGGATGTTTAAAGTCATCACTAATTAATATTTTGATTGTCACTAATGGATAAATTTAAATCTATAAAGAATAAGTAAAATTCAATTTTAATTTTCTGATTAAACGTTAAAAACTTAGTGTATAAGTATACCAGAATTTTTTGTTTTTTATATAACCTGCAATTAAAAGAATTTCCTCTATTTCTCGAAGACTTCTGCTGTTGGAAGAAATAAAATTCCATGTTGTCGACAGAGGGTTAAACAATATTGTAATATTGCAGTTATCAGTGTTGTATAACTTTATCGTGGAAATTGCGAAAGAAAAATGATAATTTTTAGTGGATGAAGCGCAAGAAAAATCGATAGCACAAGTGGCAGAGACTCTGGCGCAAACTTTCAACTTTAAGGGAAAGGTGGTGTATGATACATCGGCAGCAGATGGACAATTCAAAAAAACAGCAAGCAATGCAAAGTTACGAAAGTACCTGCCTGATTTTCAATTTACGCCTTTCGAACAAGCGATTAAAGAGACTGTTGATTGGTATATAAAAAACTACGATCAAGCGAGGAATTAAAATGGAGGTTGCAAGTTGTTATTATAATCTTGCGATAATTTATACTTTAAAATATGAACTAAATTATAGTTCACTAGAATTCAGATATATCAATGCTAAATAATATAAGTTGTTAAGAATGAATGATATGAAACTGTATGATAAAAAATAATGAAAAATGTACTGAAGATTGAGTGGTACATATATATATATATATATATATATGTATATATAAATCGTATAATTTTATTATATAATGTAAAAAGTTATTTTTGAAGTCAATTATCTTTATAAAATATAGTATTTGTTACTCAGGAAGAACGAGTTCAAAGCTTTTTGTCCACTTTTATATTTCAAGCTCGAGCAAGGTTCCTAAAATCCACAGTAATTTCGGTGAGTATTTTCAAACTGTTAAATAAACATTTGAGGATACATGAATATTTTTATTGATCTGGAAAGTTACCTACCAATGTGCATACTAAACATAGATTCAGACGAACACCTGCGGCGATGCATTTATTTTCGCTCGTTCGCAGCACTCCTAAAGTATATTTTAGGTCAGCTTGCGCATAAATTTGGTTGTTAGATCGCTTTATGATGCGATTTGACTGCCACAATATGAAATGTAAATGAAATTTTCAATTTTCGTAAATTATTGTAAGCAGAAAATTTTGTTTCAAATTTTTAATTAGTAATATCAAGAATGTCTTTTTTAATCCTTAATGTATTATATATTTATATGTATATATATGTTTTATATATTTTGGTATAACTTTTTGCTCTTTGTTATAATTTTCTCGTAGATCTTGGAGTCTACTTTTCTTAATGAAAGTGGTTTCTTTTAATTAAAAAAGACAGAATCGCAAATAAAACTATTCCAACTTCTGCTCATTAGCAAATTTATAATTTGAGATTTAATTAATTTTTAATAAAATATCCGAAATGTCGCATATATGCTGTAAAGAACATACATGCTGGATCCTTTTAGATAATGATGATTCATTTCACGTTTTTTAAAAATGAATCTATGTTTTGAATTGAAAAGTCGAATAAAGGATGATGTTCGCAGATGTTCGTCCATTCGCAAATTACAGCCGATGTCTGTTTCCCATTGTAACATCCTCGTTGATACAAAGGCAAAGAGGAAAATTTTAATTAGCTAACGTCAGTACAATCGGCCCAGATCCCGGGAATAATGGACCGGGAAATAAAAGATCATTGAAGAAAAAAGGTCAGATAATTTTAGCAATGGCGAGCGACCGTTGTGTCATGTCGATCAATTCGAATAAAGACAAGGCGCGTGTCTTTATCGAGATACATCTTCGACCGGCGACGCGAGGGACTTTTCGTCCTGGTGGTCGTTTCCCCCGAGAAAAATGAATCACCATTTTCCTCGAAACGTTCCTACGTGTCGTTATTCGTATAAGTCGCTCTTCCAAGATTGAATGATCGATCTCGAGCGGACATAATTAACGTCTGATATAATCAGATTGCCGGTTCACTCGCCGCGATTAAATTGCATTTCTTCAGTGATAATTTAACGTCGCTATTTTCTTTGCATCT